AATTTCAGCTTGCTCAGCTCTACAATCAACACTCTTGGCACCAGCAGTCAGGAAATCAAAAGACAAATTGCATTGGGAAATCTGGTGTCAGAGACCTCTCTAGAGTGCTGAGAAAGACTAAGGTGTACCTGATCCAAGCCATGGTCTTCACAATTACATATTATGCATTAGAGAACTGGACAATGACTAAGGAGGACAGAAGAAGCATTGATGCCTTTGAGCTATGGTGCTGGAGAAGAATATTAAACATACCATGGACAGCCAGGATAACAAATATAACTGTTTTGGAGAGAGTGAAACCAAGCTTCTCCTTGGAAGCAAGGATTTTGAGGCTCCGTCTCACATTCTTTGGGCACATGGCCAGGAGGGACCAGTCCTTAGAGAAGAACATCATACTTGGTAGAGTGTAAGGACAACGGAGGAGAGGAAGACCCTGGATGAGACGGATTGACATGATAACTAGGGTGATGGAATTAAGTGTGTCGGAGTCAGTGAGACTCTAAGAATAGGACAGGGTTCAGAGAGTTGTACACAGGGACGTTGTGAGTCACAGGTGACTCGATGGCACATAGCAACACCAAAACAAGTTGCACAAATGTAAAGAAGCAATACGCTCTGATCCTGAACTTGAATAGGAAAACAACAGTCACAACATTGTAAAGGTATAGGTTAGAGCAAAAAGGTTTCAGTTGAGAAAAGGCATTTGTTCATAGTGCCCTTGAAACAAACAAAGAAAACACCAAACATATAGGGTAGTTATGAGTTGCAGGCAACTCAATGGCACATAACAACAATAACAATAAATTAACTCTAATATTCATTCTAAAAAAAAAAAAATCCAGCCACAACCAAACCTGCTTTCACTAAGAACTTGTATTCTGGAGAATACAGCCTTCCCTTGAGTGATGACTTTTACAAATTCTTTTGACATATCTTTCTTACCTTGTGACAGACAAGTCTTGTTATTGTTTCATTATGAAAGAAGGAAATTAAAGAAAAAAAGACAGGATATAATTTTGCTGTCTTGTTAGCTAAATCTTTCATAAGTCAAAAATATGTTATTGTTAATTGATGTTTAACTTGTACAATTAGTTATTATCTTCATGGTTGTTTTCTTATTCAATATATTTATTCATCAAAGTGTAACTAGAGTATTTCATTTTATCTGATGTATTCTGCTTGTTTGTTAAGTAGAATAGACTGCATGGAATTTTCTTATGTTTGTACTTACTTTTGAAGTTTGTATAAAATGGTAATTTTTTTTTAATTCATCAAAATTTTTTTTCTAACATAAATTTCTTTATCTTGGGGACAAAACCAGTAAATATGAAAAAGGGTTTTATTTTTGCAGAACAATTTTTATTTTTACTGTTTGTTGCATTCACACTTTCAAATACCAAAGTAAAGGAAGAACTACATCATGCAGAAACTCAGTAACCTTGTCCTATATAGAATATAATTTTCAGTGCTATTTAAATTAAATAATAAAAAATAGAGGATATACAGTTAGAAAACATATTAGGAACTGTGTTAAAGAAATGAGTAAAACTCTACCCAGCTATTAAAGCACTGAACAATGTCATAGTAAAAAAATAATTTTAGTAGAAAGCATTACAAGCTATAGTGGTGATGTATACATACAAGCGTAGATAAGCATGTACATGTGTGTTATGTAGATATCACAGAAGACAAGGTAGTCGGGGAAACTTCACTGGGGAGAGGATATTTAAAGTAAGTTCAGAAGGAAGAGAAAGACTTTGCCAGGCCAAAGATAAGTCAGAGAAGGATAATCCAGGCAAAATAAACAGCTTAAAGCATGCTGTGCTCAGATAATGCTGGGAAATTAATTGTGTCTGAAAACCAGGGGTTTGTGACGCAAAGAGAATATAACAGGAAATGAAGATTAAATGATAAATAGATTATCTGGTTATAGGGTATTTTGCCTGTGTAAGTTGTTGTGTGCTGTAAAATCAGAATTGACCTATAGTTGACCCTTCAGTGGGTTTTCAAAAGCAGTTAATCACACAGGAGGAGGTTGCCCATACTTCTCCCAAGGAGTAGCTGGTGGATTTGAACCTTTTCCCTTTGGAATTGCACTGAACCTTCTTACCACAAGGCCACTAGAATTTCCTTTGCCTAGTAGAGGTAGAATTGCCCTTTGTGTAGTAGAAGTAATATTTCGTGATAATTAAAGTGATGCATTTTAATGACTCCCCTGAAGCATTTTTTTAATTCCTTGTATTTCGTTCTACCACTCAAAAGACAAGATGAAGTTTATCTCCCTGTGTAGAGGAAGAGGCCTTTGGTATCTTTGTAAATTTTGATTATCAAAGTAGACCTTCTTGACCTCTTTATAAAGGACGTTATTGTAAGAGCCAGGTTTTGTAAAAGAGAGAAAAGGATTCACCAAATTCTTTGATCTCTCCCCTTAGTATTTAAAAGGCAGTCTATATACTTTATAAGGTACCAAGGGAGCTCAGGTGGTCTAGTTTACAGTGAGTTATCTGCTAACCCAAAAGTCACACCTCTCTGGCAGTTTGAATCTACTAGGGGCTCAGAGAGAGAAAGCTATCCTGTCTTCTCCCTTATATTAAACAGCCTCAAAAACACAATGGAGGACTTACAAGTCAGTTCATCTCGATGGCAATGAGATTGAGAGGAGGTAGCAAAGGCAGTTTAACTTGGTGTAAGAAGCTAGACTGCAATGTCAAAGACATGTGGTTCATATCCACCAGTTGCTTCCCAGAAGAAAGATAGGAAATCTCCCTCTATGCAGTTAACTGCCTCTGAAAATCTGTTGGAAGGTCAGCTATGGGTCAGTTCCACTTAACAGTATATAACAACACCTACATTAGCCTAAAAATAATTCTGGTGGCATAGTGTGTCACAGATTGAGCTGCTAAGAAAAATGTTTCTTTCCAGCAGTCCAAATCCACCAGCCAGAGAAATATGGTAAGAATCCTTTCAAGATTTACAATGTCAGAAACCCAACGGAAGATTTCTATGAGTCAGAATCAGCTTGCCAAGAATGAGTTAAAGGGTTTTTTTTAGTTTATCAAGATTGATAGTAACCTTCCATGTTCACATAAAACTAATTTTCACATAATCATTTGACTTTAGGGAGCTCTAGTGATGTAGTGGGTAAAAAGCTGTGCTGCCAACCCACAGGCAGGTTCTTTAAACCCACCAGCTGTTTCTCAGGAGAAAGATGGGCAATCCCCCTATGTGTGATTTACAGCCTCAACAAACCTACTGGAGAGTCTGCTACGGTTCAGTTAAAATTTGACTGCTCACACACTTACACGCACACCTCTACCTGATTTTTGGAACCTAGTGGCTTATGGATAAGAATCTGCATTGCAATCTCTTTTGAGCACATGGTTGAAACCCACCAGCTATAACAACAGTAACTTAGTGGTAAGGGATTGTGATGCCAACATAAAAGTATACTGTTCAAATCCACCAGCTGCTCAGTAAGAGAAAGCTGGGCAATCAACTCCTAAATGATTTAATGCCACTGACAACCTGCTGGGGGGTCAGTTATGGATCAGTTCCAACTCAATGATATATAATAACAAAAGAAACAATCATGTTGATAAGTGAGGAGTGGGTGTATTGTAGCCCTGGTGAGGTTTGGACTAGGGTCTAACAGTGCCTTCATTTTTAAATATATGCCAAATTCAGAATCACTGGTGAAAGATGTTGCATTTGGGATATATTTCGGAAGTACAGTCAATAGATTTTTCAGACAGATCAGAATGCAATGTGAGATAAGGAGAAAAACTGAGGCTCTCATTCTGTTAATGTATGCAACTAGAGTACAGTATTAGCATTTACTGAAACTGGGGAGGTCTGGTTGAAAATATAGATTTAAGAAAAGTGGAATCAAGAGTTTTATTTTGGTCATGTTATGTTTGGGATGCCCACTAGAAATCTACTTGAAGATGTCAAGTTGGAAGACAGAAATTGTCCATAGCAGGATAATTTAACTTTGGAGGTGGAATATCAGCCTACAACAAGACACTGTCTTAAACAGTAGGGCCAATATAAGGAAACCAACATAAAGTAGGACCAACATAAGAGAACACTTTCCACACTGTGAGAAATTCTGGTTGAGGGACTGTGAAGACATTGTGTGAAATGGTGGTGGAAAGAGTGAAGAGAATGTGGCAAGGTGTAAGCAGAGGAACCCTGGAGATAAAAGCCAGAGTTAAAGATTTTACTTGCTTGATGATTGAAGAAAAGGCTAATTTATAACTCCTCTAAGATAAAGTTTGCTGGATAATTGAGGAAACCAGACTTCTTAACTTTGTGCTGCTGAACTAAACCTAGACTATCACTGGTTGACTGAAACGCTGTTTTTAACTAATTGAGAAATTGTACCTTGCCGTTAATTTGGTTTGGGACTTCCAAAATACACCTGAACTTGTATTATATGATATTCTTTACCTCCCCTACTCTCTAACCTATTCCTCTAACAAACCCCACAACTGTGAGTAAAGTTTGTGAGCCTTGCAACAAACAACAAACCCAATGATTGGCAGGAAAAGATGCAGGAGCACAGGGGTAACAAATCTAACCTTGTAGCTATTTTGGTACTATCGGTATTTTTAATGGGGATAGTTCCCCCATATAAAGTGGGTAGAAATCAGACTTGATCTCATCCCTACTTTGCATCTGCACCATACACAGCCACTGAGGACCAACAATTTAAGATTCTTTTTTGTTAACAGAGAGCCAAAGGAAAATCATTAGCAAAGAGATGTTCAGATATTAGTGTTTGGGGAGATACCATATTGATATTGTAGAGATTAAAATAGGTAAAAATTAGTGACTCATAATTTTCCAGGTAAGAGATAAGATCTAGAAGTTGTTGCTGTTGTTGTTGTTGTTACTGTGCACCATCAAGTTAGAACCAACCCGTTGCTGACTTTCTTTTTTTTTTCAATGATTACTAGAAGATTTATTTAAACAATAATACACAGTCATCTCTGTCTCACTTAATATGAGATGTTAAATGGTCGTTCCCATTTTCCTTCCTGGATAAGTTTTTCTTTTCTATCTCTCTCGGTTTTGAAAACGTAGTACCAGAAGAGGGGCCCAAGGCCAAACACAGCTCCTGTGAGAGCGAGCTTGGGAGTTGGCCTGAAATTGGGATATATATTTGCTGATCTTGCATATGTCCAACGAGCCAAGGCAGGATCTTCAATGATCGTCTTCCGGTTGGGGTCATTGAGCTGAAGCAGATACTCCCGTTTAAGCCGGGATCTAATGGCCAGCCGCTCGGCTTGAGCCCGCCGGGTCTCTAGAGAGATGTTGTATTCGGCTGGGTCGAGGGTAGTACGTTGCTGACTTTCTAGTGGGTTTTTAGAGGCAATAAATTGCACAAGAGGAGTTTAACAATCTTGCTCCTACAGAGCAGCTGGTAGAATCAAACCACACACTTCTCACTGGCAATGTGATTCCTTACCAATAATCCACCAAGATCTAGATGAAGATCGTGGTATTTCAAAGCAAATCAAATTAGAACCTGAAGATAGAGTAAATAATTTTTTTTAAAAATTAAAGATCAATTACATCTAGATTTAAAAAGAGAAGACTTTCTAATTTTAAGATAATGTAAATGATAACATTATTAACCAAATTAATTCATACAAAAACACGGAAGACTGGAAGCATATTGTGTCATTATCATAATATCTGTTGCTGCACAAGCCCACTGTTAGAATCAATGTGCCCATCTCATTGGGAATCTTCCTCTTTTCTCACTGACCCTCTACATTACCAAGTATGATATCTTTCTCTAGTAACTGGCCATCTTTCAAATAAACTGAAATAAAACATTTAGGAAATCAATTGATATATACATATATTCATTTACCCACTTATAAAATAGTTTTGCTTTTTTGTATAGAGACAGACCTCAAGGTCTTGAAAATATATTTAGAAACTCCATTCTTTATAAAAAAAAAAAACAACCAAACCTAAAAACCTTTCTTTCATTTTTTTTTTTTATGAAAGAGGATGGAAATATTTCTTTCTTGAAAATAATCAAGACCATTATAGTCCAGCTGTGAGGGACCTCTCAAAAGTACTGAAGAGCAACAACGTCAGGCTAGAGACTAAGGTGTGCCTGATCCGGGCCATAGTCTTTGCAATTACGTGCTATGCATCAGAGAGCTGGGCAGTGAATAGGGATGATAGAAAAGAGAATTGATGCCTTTGAGCTGTGGTGCCAGAGAAGAGTGTTGAATATACCATGGACTGCTAGAAGAACAAACAGGTTTGACCTGGAGAAGGTAAAGCCGGAATGCTCCTTGGAGTCAAGGATTCTGAAGCTTCATCTGACATACTTTGGGCATGTTGCAAGGACAGACTGGTCCTTGGAGAGGGACATCATGTTTGGCAGAGTGGAGGGGCGGCGAAGGAAAGGAAGACCTTCGTTGAGATGGATCGATTCTGTGAGTGGAGTGGTAGGAATGAGTGTATTTGAGATGGCTAGGTTGGCACAGGACAGAACAGTGTTTAGAGCTCTTGTACATAGGGTCAGTATGAGTCGCAAGCGACTCTATTGCACATAACAACAACAACATAGTAGAAATAAAAAGTATAACATCTGCTCATATAAACACATTTTAGATATAAAGGATCATGAATTCATAAAGCTCCCAACAATCTAAAAAAATATATAGTAACAGTTGAGAAAACCTCGATAACTGAAAAGGTTATAAAATTTTAATTAATTAAAACAAGATGTTTCCAGGAATGAAGAGATATTTTTGTACCTGGAATGTGTTTCTCTGGTTGACACAACTAACAGTTAACTCCCAACAGAAAAGATAGTAATTCAAACCCAATCTGAGGCATCTTGAAAGAAATACTTAAATATTTGTTTTCAACAGCTCACAGCCCTGAAACCGTCAAGCTTTGAAGTTCTACTTTGAAATGTGTGAGGTTACCATAAGTTATAACTGATTAAAAGTCAACCAATTTGTTTATTGTTTTATTGACGATTTTATCTCTGTGTAGAACAGAAAAGATCTATGGAATATATACAAATCAAACCCACTGCCATCAGGTCAGTTCCATCTAATAAGGACCTTATTAGGATAGAGTGGAAATGGCTCCAGGGGATTCCCAAGTCCAAAGATCATTATGGAAGCAGATAACAATCTTTTCCTTATAGAACAGCCAAAGGTTTCAAACTACCAATCTTTCAGTATGCAGCTAATCACTTAACCACTGCACCACCAGGGTTCCTATGGAACTTAGATAGGGATCTGATTATGTGTTTATGTTTAATTATGAACTATGTAGAAAATAGTAGACTAAATTGTTCCATGTATTTTTAAGAAATATAAGTATTAATATATGTGAAAAAAATACAAATCACCTTGATTCAATTTTAAGTATAATTCCAATAAAAAAAGAATAAGAAACTTTTCTGATATGATAGTTATGTATGTTTTTTTAAAAAAAAATATTTTTCCTCTTTTGGTTCCTAGTATGATCTTTGAGGGAGGCACCAAACTACTTTGAAAATCAAGACCAGAAAGAAGATGATGATAAACATATGCAAATCTTAGGGCATAAATTCAAACTAAATGTATTTAGATAATGATGTCTCACTTAGCTATAATCTCTCTGGGAGCTTCTATTCAAATTCTCAGAAATGGGAACCTGGGAAACACAAGCTGATGCAATACTCTGAAAAATCCTTCAGGGAAAAGAACATCTACAAAACAAGCACATCAGATGACTTGTGTTCAAGAGCTAAAGCCAAGATGCTAAAGCTAAAACAGCAATTCATGAGAAAGTAAAATTATTTTGCATTATCATTTAAAATCAGTCTATCTACTTGGCTATGGTAATTACTTTCAAAAATTCCTCCTACATCTGGTTCTTGAAAATAATAGTTATTTAATCTAATCATTTTAAATAAAGACATTATTTTTATGATATCTTTAGATATAATAAAATCATTAAATCTAAAATTCCTCAAAAAAAGCAGGGTATTTTAAAATCACTCCCCTTCTAGTCACATCAACTTAAAAAAGAACAATTACGCAAGGTTAAGTTAATGTTCATAATAAATCGTTTAGTATTTGTAATTTTTGTCTTGTTTCAGTATGAAACACCTATGGAAATATTTGCATTTTCCCCAATGTATTAAAAATGCAAATGAGATAGCAAAAACTTAAGTAAGAACATTTTTGGTAATTCTTGAAAACGTGCCAAATTATTGTGATAATGTTCTCATTGATTATCATGAAAAATAGTTTTTAAACTTAAGTAGTTTTCTAAAAGTACAAATGATCCTCACTCTAATCTCAGTTCACAGTTTAAAATGCTAATTTAAAATGCTAATTTATGGTAATTAGGCTATTTCAGAATTAGTAGTCCAAAGTAATCACTATGGTGCTTGTTTCTCTACTTTAATTCTGCCTTTGTTGGATTTTTCTGGCTGCCATAACAAATTACCTCAAATATGGTGGCTTAAAACAGCAGAAAAAATCTCTAACTTGTCATGGAGGTCAGAAGTCTGCTACCAAGGTTTTGGCAGAACTTCACACCTTCTGGACACTCTAGGGGAAATCTGTTCCTTACCTCTTTCTACTTCTGATGTTTGTAGACATCCCTTGGTATGACATTCCCTATCTGCCTCCATCTTCATATTAACTTCTCTGTGTATGTAAAAACTCCATGTGTCTTTCTATAAGGATAAAGATACATGTGATTATGTTTAGGGCTCACTAGAATAATTTATGATGATGGTACAAATGGGCTTAAGTGTACCAAAGATAATGAGGTTGATACAAAATATGACAGGATTCAGGTCTGATGTTCATAGGGTCACTATGAATCATACTCAACAGCAACTAACAACAACAGGATAATTTCCGATAAACTTTTTCTCTCTTAATTCTCTATTCTATCATCTATCATTTTGCCATGTTGTTGTTATGTGCCTTCGAGTCGTTTGCGACTCATAGTGACCCTATGTACAACAGCCCTAAACCCTGCTCTATTCTGTGCCAATCGCACTACCTCTGACACACCCATCCCGATTACCCCAGTCACTGAATCAATCTACCTCATAGAGAAACTTCTCCTCTTGTTCCATCCCTCCACCCTCCCAATAGTTGTATTTATTTTTATGCCTTATATGGTAATATTTACAGACCCCAAGAATATAGAGGTAGACATTGATGTATCTCTAGAGAACACTGTTAAGTCCATTATAATATCTCATGAATGATAATATAACAATTGGTATAAAAACTGCCTTTGAAAACCTGCCAGAGGGTTAGCTATGGGTTATGTACAACAGTGCATAAGAAAACTGAATCAATTAAAGGTAAATAAGTAATTTGTCCAAGTTCACTCAGTTGCTACATAGCAGAGCTATAAATCTAACATGAATCCTAAAATTCTATCCCTCTATTCCTTCCATTATATCATGTACTATCATTAAATAAATGATATGACAATAAAATTGAGATCATAATTGTATCGCTCAAATTCAAAGCAAAATTAATCACTCAGTTGCTACATAGCAGAGCTATAAATCTAACATGAATCCTAAAATTCTATCCCTCTATTCCTTCCATTATATCATGTACTATCATTAAATAAATGATATGACAATAAAATTGAGATCATAATTGTATCGCTCAAATTCAAAGCAAAATTAATCACATCTTTAAATCAATTTGAAGCTGTTTGTTCCTGGAGACACCAAAAAAAAAAGAATCTATTGAGATCCAAACGCTCTCATTTAGATTACAGCCTTTAGTCTCAAGAAACTTTTACTTTCACTTTCTACACAAATCAGTTACTATTTTGTTGATATATCAAGTTTGAGATATGGAAATGAGAAATAAAACATATAAACTAAATTAACCATAGGAAGTATTTTCTACAGGAATTGTTCACCACATATGAATATTTAAATTCAAGAAATTGAAATTTAAAACTCACTTCCTTTATTGCACTGAACATATTTCAAGTACTTAATAGCCACATGTAGCTAGGGGCTATTACATTGAATAGCATAAAGTGTAGATTGTTTTCATCAACTCAGAGAATTGTATTGGACAGGGATGTTCTAGGCTGTCTGTTTCAGAGGAACTTTTATGTTTGAAGAATTTGGTCATGATTATTATGTGTCAAACTGACCAAACCAGAGTTGATGCGCCAGTAGGCTTTCAGAGGCAGTAAATTACACGGTAGTTGATCACCCAACTTCTCCCACAAAGTGGTTCGTGAGCTTGAACTGCATACCTTTACATTGATAGCATGATTCCTTGCCACTGAGCCACCAGAGCTCCTTATTATATAAAGCTCTGGTGACATAGTTGATAGGAAGTTGAACTGATAACTCAAAGGCCAAATCTCTCTAGTAGTTCAAATCTAACAGTGACTCCACAAGAAGAAATGTGAAATCCCATCCTGTAAAATTTAGAGCCTCAGAAACCCAATGAGAAGTCAGCTCTGAGTCACTTCTAACTCAATAGCAATGAATTTGAGGTTTGTTTTTTTAAAAAAAAAAAAAGCCAAAACAAATCTTGTCATAGACTCTGAAACTTACACTAGAATATAGACAGCTGACAAGCATGGCCACCATTATGATCCTAGAATCCAGGTTGGAAGTTGTCTGGAGAAGCCAGATTCTACAAATGTTTGTTTTCTGGTTCTGGTGGGCCATAGGGTGAAATGTCATTGGGCGTGAGTTGATTTTATATGGCTTCCTATTTAAAAAGACTGTCTGGATCATAACAAACTGGCTGACTCTGAGAAGAATGGGAATCCCAAGACAGTTGATTGTACTAATGTGAAACCTGTACTTGGACCAAGAGGCAGTCATCAGAACACAGCAAGGAAACACTGCATAGTTCAAATTGGAAAGGGCATATGCCAGGGATGTGTCCTAGCTCCATTTCTTTTCAATCTGTATGGAGAACAGATTATCCAGGAGGCTGGGCTGTATGAGGAGAAATGCGGCATCAGGACTGGTGGAAGATCCACCAACAATCTGGGTTATGCAGATGATACAACCCTGCTTGCTGAAAGTGAGGAGGACTTGAAGCGCTTGATGCAGAGGGTCAAGGAAGGCTTAGGTGCGGCTGATACAAGCCATGGTCTTTGCAATCAGTTGTTATGCATCAGAGAGTTGGACAATGATTAGGGAAGATAGGAGAATTGATGCCTTTGAGCTGTGGTGCTGGAGAAGAGTACTGAGGGTACCATGGACTGCTAAGAAAACAAACAGATTCATCCTGGAGAGGGTTAAACCGGGCTGCTCCTTGGAGGTAAGAATACTGAGGCTTCATCTGACATACTTTGGACATGTTGCAAAGAGGGACTAGTCCTTGGAGAGGGACAACATGCTTGGGAGGGTGGAGGGACAGTGCAGGAGGGGAAGACCTTCTATGAGTTAGATTGCTAAAGTGACTGGGGTAATTGGGGTGGGTGTGTCGGAGACAGTGACAGAGCAGGGGTTAAGGCTGTTGTACATAGGGTCGCTATGAGTTGCAAGCAACTCAACAGCACATAACAACAACAGCAACATTTAAAATGACATTTAGGCTCTCGGGCCTGCGGCCCTCAGGCCTGGTTTTAATTGTTTTTGGTCAAACATTCTTCTAAGTAGTATAGTCCTGGTCTATCCATTTGCTGTACAGAGGTAACTCATGGTTACTGTGATGCTAAGCACTGTGACATTGATGTGTCAAATGTGATAATGTTTACCCATGGTGGACAATGTTTAGTGGAGCTCCCTGATTAAAACAAGCTTGGAATCAGGAGTGGCATCCACTTTCAAAATAACTTGCCTCTGGAAACTCTATGAATGTGGAGAAACAGTGAAAGTTATACAAGTGTTCAGGTCTTTCATTCATACGGTCGCTATGAGTCGTCTATGACTCAATGGCAATTAACAACACAACAATATGATTTAAACAGTCAAATACCCATGCATATTCAATAAAACAAAAGTAGGTGTCTTTCTGGAATTCTCTGCTTTCTCCAGGATCCATCTGACATCATCTGTGTTCCTGGTCAAAGTACTGCTGTGGATATTTTTTAATAATCTTCAGCAAGATTTCCCTAGTATGTGATAAATCACAATATTGTTTGAAAATGTCCACATACTACTAGATTATCCTTTTTGACAATGAGCACAAATAGGGATATCTTCCAGTCAATCGACATAACATAGATGAGTTCACCTGTAGCTGTATCTGATTCTTGAAACATCTCAGTTGTCATTTTATCAATTCTTGATACCTTACTTTATTACATTATTTTCAGTGCAACTTGGGCTTCTTACTTCAGCGCTGTTGTTTCTTGAATATATGCTACTTCAGTATGAATCAACTGATTCTCTTCATAAAGCAACTCTTTGTATTCTTCCATCTCCTTTTGTTTTTTTTTTACTTTGTTTTTTTTTATTAAATTTTATTAGTTTCAATGAATATTCACAGGGATTCTGGGCTTTCACTCCTTCATTGCTGCACCATTCTCTCCACTCTCCTCCGCAGTTTTTCCATCTCCTTTTGATGCTCCCAACACCATTTAATATTTTGCTCAAAAAATCTCTGATTATCACAATTTAAGGTTTGGATTTGTTCTTTCATTCTTTCAGCTTTAGAAATACTAAGTATGTACTTCCCGTTTAGTTTTCTAACTCTAGGTATTTGTATATTTCAAAATAACATTTTGCTTTGCCTACGTAGGTAAATTTTTAAATATTCTATTCAGCTCTCTTATTCCATCATTTCTTTTGCTCTAGCTTCTACCTTCTAGAGCAAGTTTCATGATCTCTTCTGAAACATGTTTTACTATTTTATTTCTTTCCTATCTTTTTAAGAACCTTTAGATTTTTTTTCATGTAAAATGTCCTTAATGTCATCAAGCCACAACTTGCCTGAGATTCAAATTCAAATAAAGTAGGTAGCAGGCCTATCCTTCCATATCTGAAATAAAGGACCATTGAAAGTGCTGTAAGTATCAGTGAAGATATTCTGATACAGTACCCAAAGACGATGAGGCCCTCAGGTTGAAAGACACTGAAACTACAACTAGGGAAGAAAAGCCTCCACAAAGTGGAGTCTGATGTGGGTGAAGTAAGAATTTCAGCCAATGAATATTTTTCACTTGATAATGTGGCACAACTAAAAACAAGGAGCAGCATTAAACACATAAAGATTGATATGCTAGGCATCAGTGAGCTAAAATGGACTTGTACTGGCCATTTTGGAGTAGAATCTTAGGGTAATTGTGCCAGAAATTTCAAATTTAAAAGGAATGGTGTTATAATTCTAATAAAAAAAAAATGTCAAGAGCTATACTGAAATGCACTGCTGTCATTGATAGGATAATGCCCATATTCAATGCATACAGAAAAGACTTGTGAATATTATATGACTATTATTCATATTTAAGTACTAGCCACTAAAGCCAAAGATAAAGAAATTGAAGGTTCTTACCAATATTTCTATCTAAAATTGATCAAACATGCAATCAAGACATTTTAGTAATATCTGATGATCGGAATTCAAAAGTTGAAAATGAAGGATTGGGAGTTGGAAGATACAGTATTGGTGATAAAAGAAATGATAGGATTTTGTATTACCAATGACATTCGTTCCAAGTATATTTTAAAAA